GACTTTAACATTTCTTGGTCGTGTTCAGTGACAGTTACCTTATCCACTGCAGTCAGAGCGTAGGCATGTCTAAACATGATTCCCAGTTCATTCCTCTGCTCCAGAGGACCCTGGAGGGGGAAAAAGCCAACCAACCACAGTGAGGACAGAAGGAGACAAACAATATGACTCATAAATGAGTGCAGGAACGCCTCCGTGTTTCCCAGCAGGTTCAGATCTAAATCATCCCTCACAGGTCCTTACTGTACCTGGCAGTTGGCACAGTTGATGAGTGCTCCTCTGACCAGCAGGTGTCTGAGGAAGGTCGGCAAGTCTCTGGGAAGTGAGGCCACCTGGAAAACCTCTGTCACCCCGCCCGTCATATCCACCATGGCCTCATGAGGGTAGCCCATGCCCAGAGCTAGGTAGCCACCATTCAACCTGGGACAGAAAGGGAAATATCAGGTTTTCTGAACGGTTTTTGAAAGATCTCCTGAATTGGCCTTTCTAACTGAACTCTGACTGACAAATCTGCCCAGGAAAGGTTTGAACAATTCGACATTTAATGTTTGAGATATTATCATTATCCTTATCATTATTATGCCCACTTTTTCACTCACTTATCAACTACTTGTTCTTAAAGTGTGAAGAACAGATGCTCAAATGATCCACAATACTCTGAGTAGGAACAGACGCTGAAATTTAGAATCTTTTAAAACACAGACACTGGATGTTAGTTACTATTTAGCCATTTCAGCATGTTTACATGTTTATTTGTTCTATCATTTCTCTCGCTGCTATATAGTCATATTTATTTTTCCATATAAATGCAACAAAATCTGGAAAATGTTCACTCCGCATGGCACTATGTAAAAAACAAACAAACATATTTTTTATTTCCTCTAAATTCAGTTTTCAGCATCAGCAGCATGGGATACAACATCACACACAGGAACAGACATAGCACCTGTACCCTTCATGTTTTGTCTTGTATCTGATAATTCACTGGAGAAAACTTCAAAAAGTAAATCTCCAAAAGTTGATTCTGTTCATCTGGACGTAGCGTTCCTGTGATTGCAGCCATTCCCCAACTCTCTGTGAATGGGACTCATGGCCATTGATCAGTGGTTGTTGATCAATGTCATGAGAATTTGCATAATTATGATTAAGGAACTGACCTCCCAGCCCATTGTTCCTTCAGTGGGCTGGTTTCAGTCATTATGTAAATGTCCTGTTTATAAGATTGAAACCTGCAGTCAGCTGAGACTGAAGACGTCACCTGATGATGACGAAACGTTTCTCCCACAAAACGCTACGTCCAGATGAACAGAATCAACTTTTTGGAGATTTACTTTCCTGGATGATTGAGATGCATCAAGACGTTCAAAAAGTATAGTTTGGGTGATTCTTCAAGCGTCATATGACCGTGGTGGCAGCTTACAGCATATGAACGCTCTCCCTTTTGGTTAACATTACGACACCAGGCTGATCTTCTAGCAGTGATTCGTTCTGAGTAGAAAAACACATGCTGTCATGTCATTATCTCCTGTACTTATGAAGGGCTCAGAAATGGTGGGAAAACTCGAACTTGAAAGACCTGGAACTCAGGAAAGAGTCATAGTATGATGCTAAAATTTTGGATAAAATTAAGAGGTTTAGGTGAAACGTATGGATATGGAATATGGATTTGTGGTTATGTAACAGGCAAAAGAAGACCACATTTCTATCAGAGAGGCTGAAATGTTCAGTGAGACATGAACACCTAGACAGCGGCTGACTGGGACTCACTTGGCGTAGGCTTTCTCCAGCAGGGCGCTCCAGAACTCCTGTCTGTCTGGGGACCTGAGGAAGATCAGATTGTTGTTCACAGTGGGCAGCAGGTCATCGATCTGTACCTCCTCCCACTGACCGTACTGCCAGAACTACACAGCGAGAGAAAGAGAGAGAGAATATCATCTGATTTAGGCTGAGAATTCACTTGAAGAAGATAACTGCATATTAAAAAGTGCTTTTGTACCCTGAAAGTGAAGCAACCACTGTATCCATCTTGGAAGCTCTGGCCCAGAGGCACAACCTTCTTTAGCAGCGATTGATTCATGGAGAGAGACGCTATAGCTGAGAGTAACCAGCAGTCAGCTGGAAAAGAATGAAGTAGGTCATGACATCATTTAAAGCTTCAGTGCACAATGCTGGATGGTCCGCTTTCCATTTTAAATCACTTCAAGCCGTGCACCATCTTTCACCTACATACAGTCTCCATTAAGCCTTTATGTGCTGGGTGTAACAGCTATTCAACGCTGACATACAGCATCTACAGAGAGCTGTTTGCACTGTTGTATTTGAGGAAGGAGGGACATGTTTAACCTGGTCTTCAGGGTGTGACACAGACCCACCTGTGTGGAAGGAACAGAAAAGACCTGAGGTTCTCAATCTGATGTAGCTACTGTATACGATTTGTTTTGTCCTTGATGCCACTCAGCTCAGTTAATTTTACCCAGTCACCAGTGCAAGTACTGCAACAGAGATATACA